AAAACATCCCGCGTCCCCCCGCGCCGTTGTCCCCCCGGGCCGCTCCCCCTTCCCTCCTCGGCCACCTGCCCCCTCCCCGGGCTCCCTCCCGCATCCTCCGGGGAAGCCGGCGGCGCCCCCTTCCCCACCTGCCGAGCCGCTTCCCGGGCAGGATGCGGGGCTGGGAGCGCCCCCCCGGCTGCCCCGTGCCCAGGGTGGGAGCAGCGAGCTGGAAGTTGGGAATGCGCTGTAAAGGCGGGAGGCTGCTTGTCAACCTCGATTGCAATTAGGAAGGAAAAAAAAAAATCACTCTCCATACCTATACGTTTTGAGTGGGAAGAGAGGGATGGTATGGCATTCACAGGGAAAATTCTCAGTGCCTGCTGAGCCCCCACAGTGAAAATAGCTTACTGAAGGGCTTGAGCCCGGACCCTCCGACCRCTGGGACATTTTTAAGAGGAGATTTTGCTTGGGGGAAAAAAAATTAAGTGATCTCAAGCCTTCTCTCCGGGGATAAGGAGCCCGGCTTTTAGGAATGGTGTTTGACCTTTAAGCATTTATTGGCTACTGGGGTTAAAATAAGCTTGAGATAGAAGTAAAAATAGCTTGCAGAAAGGTTAAATCGAAGGTTAAATTTGTTTTTCTTAGGAAAATTGAGGCTGATGTTCAAAAATGTAGGCTTGAAGCAAAGAATGGAGGGTACACGTTAGGGGGTCTGTTAGGCAAGTAGATGCAATTCCCGTATTGATGCTTGCTGATAGTGTTTGACACCCAAGTTCTGAAAGTTGGTGGGTGGGTGGTCCTTCAGATCAGGTCTGGTCTTTGCCTCTCTGTGGGTTTTCATACAAAGATTGGAGTGCTTGTAGCTCCTGTTGATTTCATGTGAGTTTTTGATGCTCAGAGACCTGCAGGATGGGGCAGCTGGCTGTGGGCATGGAGCTGTGCCTGTGCCCGGTGTCCCTTCTCGTGCCCTGTGTCCCTCCCCCCYGAAGGCAGGGGTGGCCCCAGTGCCCTCAGTAACCTTTCTGATTACCTGTGCTCTGCCTGGGCTTGCTAAAGGAAAAATAGATAATTAGAGGGTAACGAGTCAGAAGAGGAAAGTAAAGTTACAAATGTGAGTAGTAAAGAAAAAAAAATCCCCTTGTAGATGTGGAGAAAGGCAAAGCACAGGAAGTAAACGAGGGCTTGTTTTGTTTTAAGTTGAAATGAGATTAAATATTGCCTCAGGGAGCCAAGACAGYAGAGTTGGTATGGAGGAGAGGAGGGATGGCTTGCTCCTCACCTGGGCACCTGAGTTTTTGCTGGRAAGCTGGGGCTGGCAGCAGCCTGTGGAGGAGATGAGGGACAGACRAGCCCCGGCAGGCAGGGACAGGCTCCTGCTGCCCAAAAAATGGTTGTTCTGGGTACCAGGATCAGGGTACYCTTTTGCATTTGCACTTTGCAGGGCTCCCAGGGAGGTTAAGGAAAGCTTCCTCCCAGATGCAGGGGCTGAGCGCCACGATTTGCTGAGGTTCTTGTTGGCCCCGCTGCTGTGCATCCTTTGGTCCAAAAGTTTGTTCTGGTGTTACTATGAAATTGGGGCCGTGCCAATTTGGGGGATGCTGCTGCTCTCTCAGAGCCTCCTGTAGCAGCACTTGGCTCCAGAATTTGTTCATGGGAAAAGGCAATGGGATGAGGACAACCCTCCCACGGTGTACAGAGTGGGATGTTCCAGCCCTGCACCCTCCTTACTACACTTTCTAACAACTGGCTGATGTTCCTAGACAGAAGGAAAAGCACATTTAAGGCAGAAGGGAAGCGCCGAGGGGTTGCTGTGGGAGCTGCCCCATGGCTCGGTGTCACCGGCGGGCGCAGGTGCTGGCACCGGGCTGGGACGGGGTCTCCGCTGGCCGGAGCCGTGTGCGTGCCGCTGGGGGCACTATGTTCTGTTTGTGTTCCTATTTCTGGGCTGGAAGAACAAACAGGGAAGTGGTTTTTCTGCAGTCTCATTGCAGCTCACAAACAGAGCACATCATTGAGCCGGTGTTGCTCACAGCGTCAGAGGTGACGGCGCGGGGACCGAGCGCGGCGCATCCCTCAACCTGCGGGGAGGCTGCCAAGAGGTGATCACCACATGCTTTTTTTTTTTTTTTTTCTGCAACTTACGCAGGTTTCTGTGCCTGTTCCCTGTGGAAGTGGAGAGCACAGGCACGTATGAATTTCTCTCTGTTTGCTTGCCACAATTCAGAACGGTTCATTCTTGGAAACAGCCTCTGTGCAGGGTGCTGGGATGCCGCTAAAATCTCCAAATCCCACGTGGACTTGATGTGCAGATGAGTTTGCAGGGAGCTGGGAAACACCAGGGGGTTCCCCAGAGCGCAGGGCTGGTAGAGGGGTCTGCAAAGGAAGAATTCTRTGCTGGCTRAAGGCTGGATGAGGCATTTTGGTTKAGTGTGGATGGCAGCGGATGCCTGTCCCTGGCAGCGTGCCCAGCTGAGCTCAGGATCTGGGCACAGGCATCCCTGTGTGCCAGGAGCACTGCTGCCTTCACCTCTCCCAGKTTGCATGGGCTGGGCAAAATTGCATTCCCAAGAGCTCCTCTCCAGCCTTCCCCTGCTGTGAGGCTGGACCAGCCGGGCTCAGGCCATCATCTCCGTTTTAACACCAATCCTGGTGCTAATTTGTCCAAGGCCCTAGTGATTTACATTTGTTTAGGCTGATGAAGGCCCATCATCTTCCTTGGTTTAGCATTTATCTGCCTTTTTCAGCTTGAACAAAGGCAATGCTAAACATGTGTTGGTTTGCAAGCAGTTCAGTTTTTTTGGTTTCCAGGCATTAGCCTGGGCTRTGCCTGTGGATTTGAGTTGCAGACACTTCAGGGGGATGTTCATTTGTTTATAAAAGAAACCCACATCTGTTTCTGTTTGAATTTTTTAAGCAAGCCTACATAGAAACCTTTCACTTGGTTTCTGGCTCTGTAAAAACTGGATTTTGGGCCAAGTTTGACCTAACAGTGACCTTTTCAAAGTATTACAAATTTTTTTGGTATTTGTTTATGACTTTAATAATGATGCCATGCGGGGAATGGGTCAGTTAAAGGTGAAATTAAGTTCTAATGTAAACAAAAGATTAATTTTGGAGCAGAGACCACGTTTTGTGGAGACTCAAGTTGCTCACTAGTTCACCAACTGAATTGCTCCTGAGAGTTTGTGGGAGCTGGGGCTCCAGCCCTGGAAGGGATGTGGGCARTGGGTCCCCCCCTGCCTCCTCCGGGTGCCAAAAGGGTGGTGGGAGCTCAGCCACCATCAGACTTTATAACTCTGGGATACAGATGGGAAATGGCCCAATTACCCTTCTACAGTAAATTCCTCTCTTAAGTGCCATGGGTTTACTACTGTTTGGCTGCTCCACGTGAGTTCCTCAGAAAACAGCATCTCATGGCCTGGAACTTAACCATTTTCTGGAATGGCCTGGTTTTGGCCAAAACTTTCGCTCCCTTCAGGCACACAGTACCATTGTGTGCCATCCCCTGCCCAGCCTGTCAGTGCTGCTCTTCAGAGATGTCCATATTTTGCTCATGCCAGAATTTCATTTAGAAATTTAATGCAGCTTGGTTCGGGGGATGCTGTCTCGGATCCTGCCAAACAGCGGCAAAGTGATTTATTGGAGTACAGACACTATTTTTACCTGCAATGTGAGCCCCTTCTGCMTGTGAATATCAGTTCATCCCGTTATGCAGTGTCTGTGCTCATTCTGCAGGCAGGTGTTGGACAGAAGTGAGATGCAGGGACCGGGTTCAGTCAGAGGGATGGTCAGTGCATCTCCTYATATATCAGAGCCAAAAAACAGTGCCAGCCTCCTGCTCCCTGTGCTGAGCATTGGYTGTAAACCTTTTCCCTTGTCTTGAAAGGAGAGTGATGTCAGTGATGCTGTCTTGCTGTAAAAGCAAATATGGGAAATGTGGGAAATCTCACTGGCTATCAGTAGCGTTCCTTTACTTCAGCTCAGGTGGTTTCTTCCCCCTATTGGTTTTGGCTTATTTAATCTTTGTGATTAGGAACTCCAGAATCAATAAAAGCTTCGCTCTGTCTCTTTGTGCTCCAAATGTCTGTTTGCCACTTCAGACCAGTAGGAACCAGTTTAAAAGGTTCAGGTAGGATTTTCACTGAAAGTAAGTAAGCTGCAGTTAGAGCTATCTTCAATTTTTATTTCYCCCAAGCAAAATCTAATGGCTACTTGGAACGAGGCTGGTTTAATAACATCTGCTTCCCCTTGAATYACCGTGGGAGAAGTATTGACATTGCCATATTCTTAGGGAGTGTTTTAAGTCACGTTTTGACAGGGCAATGCTTAGCACAACACTGATAGTTAAAATGTTTAGGGTACTTTGCAGTATTTTCCCTTATAATGCTGTGATCGCGCATCTGTTGTAATATACAGCTATTGCAAGGGGTTTATATGTTTATGTGGAACATTTCCTGATTTTGGGGGGCATGTCATGCTCTGGCATGCTGTCCCAGTGTGTGCTGCTTGTACCTAATGCAGCCAAACCACACAAATCCAGTGTTTCATTATCATTTACCACTTAGCATTTGTGGAAGCAATAATGGATATGACAGATCAACACATCCAGATTCTTGGGAAATACCTCAGAAAGTACTAGGAATATTTCCATGAGGCTGAGATTGTTTTCTGTGGATGTATTTTGGCTCTCAGCCTCTTRGATAGTTGTCTGGTCCACGGGTAGCCCTTTCCATCCAGAGCTCCCCAAGCCCKTGTTGGGGCCACGTTGATCAGCCACCAGCCACACTGACAAACTTTGGATCTCCAAAAGTTAAAATCTTTCCTCTTTTCTTTCCTGAAGCACCTGCTGGTACAGGTACTTGACTTTCGGTTCCYGAGGGGTGAGTTCAGGAGAGCCTGCTGATTTCAAGCGCTCCTGTGGCTTGTTCAAAGTCTCAGAGCAAATCAGCTGGACTTGAAACGGGTCTCCTCATCAGTGCAGTGGTAGCTGCACTGCTGCTGTGATTTTGCCTCTGAGAGGATGCAGAAGTCGCAGCAGCCGTGCAGAAGCCTCGCTCAGCCCCGGGAGCCGGCGGTGCTGCCCGGGGGAGCTCCATCAGGGCAGTGCCGGTGATGGGAAGAGCTTCGGGCWGGGCTGTGTCACAGATACTCCTGAAGCCTTAAAAGAAATCGATACCGRCTGGATGGGAAGATGAGTCACAGGGTAAAACCCAGGCTTGTGGTACACGGGGGTTCTCTGCCGCTCTGGGATGCTCGTACTTCCCCCTGCAGACATACCGAGAGTGTGCAGTTTCCATTCTCCTGCACTCGCACTTCTCAACCCTGCAGCTCAGACAGGTGCTTCACAGGACATCTCTCCTCCCATCCAACAGCCCCAYGGTCCCTGCCAGGGCAGCCTCCAGTCCGTGGTGGAGCTTCCTCCCTTGGCAGTGCTCTTGCAGAGGAAGAGATGTTGGATGCAAATCCTGCATAGACAAATTCCCCTGCAAAGCTGAATGATCCAAATGCACCTCCTGTAACTCCTGGGACTGGGAAATGCTGGTAGAGAGACAATCACGCCTTAAAGTTGTAAAAAACCTCAGTGAGAATTGTTTTCTTCCCTTTTTTTCAGCCTCTGGGTAGTTGTCTGTCCTGAGGGTAAGGACTGACTGGAGCTGGGGTAGGAGGGTGTGTGGATATTCGGTGCTGTGAGGAGTTTTCTGGACATGAWGTGTAATGTTCGATTTCTTTTGTTACAGATGGAAGAAAAACGACGCAAGTACTCCATCAGCAGTGATAACTCAGACACCACTGACAGTAAGACCTTTAATTCAAAGCTTTGAATAAAATTCACCTCCAGCAGTCAAAGTGCTTGAATAATTACTTTACAAAGTGGAGGAAGCTGCATTTGCTGGGAAGCCTCTGCACAATGAATTGTGTGCAGGGCTGGGTTTGTCAGAAATGCAGCAACAAGCTGATATCAATTTATTTAAACACTTGGCTGTGGCTCCTCTTAACTGATGAGAGTGTCTCCCTCGTGTGAGGAGTCTGGGTGAGCAGAGCTGCTGATTGCAGATCTGCTAACGAAGCAGCAAACACCCCTTCGTAGATGAGTTGTCCTTTCCTGTGAGCTGCAGCCTGAGACTAGTTTGCTCTTGATTTGGGTTGTAGTGGGGGAAAGGGAAGTTTTTATTGGAGTCGGAGTAAAACTGGAGCCGCATTGTTCGCTTCTTGCGAGCTAAAGAGTGATGTGGGAAAAGGGATAAGGCTCAAGCCAGCAAAATTTGCAAGCCCACGCTTGCATTTCAACATCTACCTCACTTYATCCTCATTCAGGAGGGCACAGAAGCATGTGTTCAACAATAAACATGTGCAAATGTGCTGAATTTTGACTATAAATAGAGCACTTTCCCACTTATCCCAGGGTTTCACCCGCTGCAGGCATACCRCAGTGCCTCGGTGCTCAGTACCCTYGAGGCACCAGCCTAATCCCTTGTCTGGACCCCGGAGTTTCTTACTAGTTGCTTTTGGTTTCTTACAAATGTCACAGTAATTTCATCTGGGCCGTGCTGGGAATTTGCTCTCCACACTTTACAGGATCTGGCTGCTGGATATCCGAGAMCGAAAGGGACTTTGCTAAAGACACTAAACTTCTGGGCCTTTTCCTAACAGGATGATGGGGAGATTACAGGGGGTTATGGAAAGGCTGGTCTTGCTGGGTTTGGCTGCTGTTCCCACAGCTTTAGCCAAAAAAATAGTGAGAGTGGAGTTTGCACCACAACTGCTGACGGGAACCTGCTGTTGCTCTGCCAGAGGGGACCCCCATCCTGCTGGAGTCCTGTGGGGTCTGGGGCTGAGCTGTGCCTGCAGAAAGCTCTTCAGGCTCTGTCAACACCACCAACTTCTCATAAAATGAGACATCTCTATCTCAGAACAGGGTTTGTTTTGGAAGCCATGCTCCAAACTTTCCGTCTCCTAATCCCCAGCTGCTCAAAGGCTTACGGAGCCGAGCTGTGCTCGCTGGCTGCGCTGCCTTTCGGGGGCAAGGCATCTTTAATCATGGTATTAAACAACATGGCCTTATCTCTGCTGGGCTTGGATATTTATGCTGCAGGTGATATCTAAGCTGTTGACAAATGCTCTCCTGCAGGATAGTTGTAAACAGAGTGGTGACCTTCTTTTTCATGCCTCTGCCAGGAAAGGGTAGTTGTGGTGTGTTACCCAAGCCTGTATGGCTGTAGCATCACAYTGTAGCTTGAGAAGAGGGGGCAAGGTGGAAATTAGTGACTGATCTGTCCATGAAAGCTGAGGAGCTGCTGCTGCTGCTGCYCTCGTTGGARCAGTTTGTGAGTAAAGCAGTGTGTCCATGTGGCTGCAGCACAGGGATGGCTGCTCCGGGCTTTGTCTACACAGCCCTGTTACACTCTGAAATGTTATGAAGAATTTAATTTRTATGGAACCCTCTTTAATGACATCTAGCCTGACACTTCAGTCAAGAAACAAGCTGTCTTTTGGGAAAAAGTSATGCCCCCACATTTGGTCTTCATTTTATGAAGTATAAAAAAGYGCCCTGCAAGTGAAGAGTACAAGGTGAGCTGGTGCCTCTTCCCCTGCCAGCAGAAACAGGCCTGTGAGATTTACCTGGGCTCAGCTGCCTGAGCTGGTGGAGGAACAGACATCTCCCACCTCGGTGGTCCTGCAGCCTGATCCCTGTGTCTGCTCAGCTCCTGGCCAGAGCCCTTCCCAAGGTCCTCAAGTGCATCCCTCCATCGTGTTTGGATGTTCTTATGTGCAAGGTGGCATTTCCTGCTATTTAGCACTCCAAGCATAAAATCAGTGTTAWGTAGGCCTATTCATAGTTATTTTGTTGCAACCTCACAGAAACATTTTTATATAGTGGAATATGGAGGGTCCTGCTGCACAGAAGACTGAACTGTTATCGTTATACAGAAATTCCAATAATCAGTTCGTTATTTATTATAAACAAGCACAGTCTTTTATTGAAGTGATAATGACACGAGTGAGTTGGAAATAAAGTTCAGCAATGCAGTGGTCCCAGCACATTTTGGGCTTTAGCTGCCATTCCCTTTTGGAGGTGGTAGCAGTGGTGATGATACTGCACAAAAAAAATGCCATGTCAAGGTGTTATTCCCTCTTAGTGCAGATCCAAAGCTTTGGTTGAGGCTGTAGCTGTGGGGCTGGTGACAAAAGGATGGGAAAAACTTTAACCCTTCCCTAGGTAACCTGTCTGTCTGTTGCCTTGTTGCAGGTCACACCACTTCCACCTCCAGATGCTCCAAAATTCCGAATACCAAATCCCCCTGGTCACGGCAGAAGGAGAAGAAGCCCTCTGAGGTACGTGGGCTTTTAGGCTTTTGCCAAAGGAGGGTTTTCCCATGGGACTGTGCTTACCCAGATGTGGCAGCCATGGCTGGCTGTGGCAGTGGGTGCCAGGAGAAGGCATCTCCAAGGAGCCAGACCTGTGCTGGACAGCGGTGCCACCCCAGCTCTCCTGGGGACAGGGCTGATGGGGATACATGATGAGCATCTCTGGTGAAGGATGGGGGTTCTTGTGCCCACTCCATCCCTCTTGATGCCAGTGAAGAGAAGTTTGGTGGGACTGGGAGGTCCTACAGTGCTGGGGTGTCTGTGCTGTGGTGCCCTTTCACTGATGGCACCGGTCACAGCGCTGATGGCAGGGCACAGTGACACAGACACTCCTCCCCGTGACCAAGTGGGAGKCAGGGAGAGCTGTGAAATGAGAGACAGCACAGCTGAGTTGCAGATTGTGTCGTGTTGGTTTCCYCTGTCACGGGGCTCAAGGGCAGCAAGCTGGAGCTGTTGGTTCTGACCTTGCTGTAGGGTTTCCCCTGGCTGGTGTGGGCAGTGCTGCCCACTCTGGGGACGCTGCCCAGCTCCACCTGCTGGGTCTGGGCCTGGGCCTGGGCTGGGAGGAGCTGTTTGTCCCCAGGACTGTGCTGGAAGGGGTGGTGCTGTGCCCTGTTTTCCTGATGTGCCTCGGATACATTTCCAYGAGCCATGGAAACTATACCAGGCATGAGCTGCTGTTGTAGCAACCACAGTGTTTGGCAGTGGTCATCTTCATTTCAGCAGCAGYGTGAGCAAAGCCAGAGGGACATTGTTCTCACATTCCCTTCCCTCTGCACTGGGGTCTGGAGTCAGACAGGGCTAAGTTTAGAAGCAGATGGCTCATGTGAACTCCCCAAGCCCTCCCCGTTTCACCTCTCCTGACGCTGTGGCCTGGTGAGCACAAACCTCTGTAACATCCTCCCTTTGCATCAARCTGAGTACAGATTTTGAGGTTTTCCTGTGGTCACTGCCTGAATTACAGCTGCACTTGGTTCYTACTGCTCTGACAGGTTTACACTGATGAATCTAACATGTTGGCAAAGGGCACAGACTGAAAAAAGTCCAACTTATTTGTGCCTTGGGTAAAGAGAGGGACTGGAAAGCTGTTACGGAGTTAGCTGGAAACACTCCAGAGAGCAAGAACCAGGGGTGCAGAAGTCACTGACTGCTGACAAGGCTGTTGGAAAATTGAATATTAGCACTGGTGATGTTGGGTTTTGGTTATAGATGTATCCTTCAGTGTGGGTGTGGGGGAGATTTCTGTGAGCTGAATCCTCCCTTGGAAAGTGAAGCATTCAGGGCATCTCCTCCTGTGGCACTGCTACCCTTCTCTGGAATAACTGCTCATCCCTGTGCCTGATGTGTCCAGGAAGGCCTTGGGTGAGTCCTTTAGGTGCTGTCAGGAGTCCCTGCCGTGGAAATGCCCCATGTTAGATGTGAGAGGATGTGACTCGTGTCATGACAGCGTCACAGGTGCCACCYTGCTGGCCACCCAGTAAAATCCTACTGCAGGAGTTGGGACGTCTCTTCCTGCCTCACTGGTGCAGCCACACTTTAGTCTTCAATGTGAATTAGTTTAACCAGCCCTCTAGGATTTTACCTGGCTGCGAGTGAGATTACTGGTTTGAAGGCCAAGACTCCAAATGAAAGTGCTTCTGGACTTGATGAAGGATGGTCTACAGCAGCTGGAGTGAAAATCAGATCTTAGTGCACAGCTCCCAGGGAGACATCAGATCTGGTGCCTGCAGAGGGCCAGGCTCATCCCTGTGCTTCATGCTCCATTGTCCCCTGAGGAGGGTTGTCAGTGAAATGTGGAACAAATAAAGTGGAGMAAAAGCTGAACAGTGCCCAGTTTAGCAACAGTTGGGGCAGAAAGTGAATCTCTGTCTTATCTGAAGTGGATTCCAGGGGAATTTGGAGAGACAGTGTGTGATTGCTCAAGCTGGAGTTCGGCCAGGATGCTCAAGCTGACAAACCATYGTTTGCAGAAGCATGGTGGGCACASGRGCAGATGGAGCAGTGCAGATYTCAGCTGTGCTCCCCTCACTGTGCATCCCTCCTGCACTGGCTGGCRTCCAGCTCTGCTGGAAATCAGCTCCAGTGAAACCCAGGGGTCAGGACAGTGTCCGAGGCTGGGAATAGGATTGCCCCAAGACCTGCAGCAGTGCAGGGAGATGGTTTBGAGGTCTCTTCTGTATGGATTTCCTCTACAACAGCATCTTCCAAATYCTTCCATGAGTGACCCAACCTCTGCTGTTCTGTGAGCACCCATGAGCCYGTCTGGTCCATGTGTGGGATCCACTGCCTGTCATCTGTGAAACACTGCAGGGTTTGGCACTGGGCTGGGAGGAGCAGGAACACTGGGGGATTTCAGGCGTAGACTGGCACRGGCATCATGTCCTGTTGGAGCACGYACTGAGGAGTGTAAAACATAAACCCCACCACTGTCAAACTGCTTCACATGGAATAGTGAAATAGCTTTTTTCTTGTCAATCCTGCTGAGGATGGAAACCACGGGAGGGTAATAGGGAGAGCAGGAGGAATGTGTTAACAGAGACTGAACTCCCAGCCATTTTGAGTTTGGACACATCTTTTCAAAGCAATAACTCAAACTTCAGGTTTACACACGGCTTGTAGCTTTGTCAAGAGCTGCAGTGGGTGCAGGCACGTCCTGGGGCACAGCCATGCTGGAGGATGGGCTGGGGCAGGGGGTTCATGTGCCTGTGGACCCAGCAGCCTGTGCTGYCCTCCTCCAAGTCGTGTCCCCATTTTTCTGGGAGCTGCTGTCCCAGAGACACAGCATTCCCCCTGGCAACCCAGGGCAGGAGCTAAAAAAATCAAAAGCGTTAGTGTTACATAGTTATTAGTCAGGTCAGGGGGTGATGTTTATTATGAAAGACTCTGTGAGAAGGGATTAACTATACACATTAAAAACCACCCGATACAAGGCATCTGGGAAAACAAGCTCCTTAACATGGAAAAGTACTGAGCTGTTTGTAAACATCCGCGAAGGGGCCATTGCCAGGGAGGGTGATTATATTTATCTGTGCCTGTCACGGGGCTCTGCCAGGACCCTTTCCTGGCTGTCCCAGGCACCAGGCCTCTCTCTTGGCTGTCTCTCTCTCAGAGGTGACACTCGTCCTGCCCTGCCCCTTGCCAGCACTAAAACCTGATGCTGSYGGTGCCCTGGGCACGGCTGTGCTGYGCTGCTTTGCCTGGAGGCAGAGGATGGACGTGGGCAGCTGCCAGCAGCTCCTTGCATCTGCAGYGATAGCAGCACCGATCTGGGGATTTTAATTAATCTCATTAGTGCTCGTTTGTCTCTTACCTTGTCCGTGAACGGAGCGTGGTGGCTGGTGCTCCTCTCTCTGGGTCCCTGAGGATGGGGAGGGGCTGCTCACACTCCCCACCCTGGCAGCTGCGAGGAGGGAATGCTCGCTCAGGTTCTCCCCACCGTGGATCTGGATCTGAATCTGCAGCAGGGAACAAGACAGGTTCTCCCTGCCGTGGATCTGAATCTGCAGCGGGGAACAAGACACGCCTGAAGGACGGATTTCTGCTTCTGTTAGTGGCACATCAGTGCAATCCTGCCCCCGGCTGTAGGGCTGCTGGGGATGTGAGCATGAGCCTGGCTGCTTTGACTGCAGTCATCAAGCCTCTCTCCTGCTCCTGACAGGGAACAGTTGTCAGTGTCTGAGGAGAGAATCTAAGAACAAGGCAAGTGTGTAATGAGAGTCGCTGGTTCTATCTGCCGGCTCCCAGCCATCAGCAGCCCGGGGACTCCCTCGGATGCTGCCTCTGAGTCACTGCCTTAGATCCAGAGCTRTTTGAGATCCAAAGCACTCACCTGCACTGCTGGAATAGATTTTGGAGGGACAGAAGCCTGCTTTTTTGTTCAGAACACCTGCCTGCCAGCCCTCCAGCTGTCCTTTCTCAGATGAAGAGCCCTTSACAGCCCTGGCTCTGCTGTGCAGGTGCTGCTCATCCCACCGGACATCCTCATTGCCCTTCTCCCTCACTCCGGACCTTCRGGAGTGCAGCTGTAGGCAGGGCTCAGGATGAAGGGGAAACCACAAATTTATACAATTTACATTATTTTCTGCTTGYCTTGTTTAGATATTACTTCCGTGTTTTGAAAGGCGCCTTTTTATATCTCTTTACAAGGTTTTAACTTTTCTAACAAACATTCTCATCGTTTCCCTTCTGAAAAGTAATTCTTCCTGCATTGGATCATGTTTTTTTTCTCCTGCAATAGGTATATAATGACCCAGTGCAATGTGAATTTAGTTCCTGGACTCTTCCATGTCTGGAGAAGAGCTTTAATGGATGTGGCCAAGCAAGACTGGACATGCTTTTATGGGGCTGGATGGGGAGAAAATCAGTCTCTGTTGAAAGGTTTGAGTGCAGTTTGGCTTTGTCAGTTTTCCCATGCCAGYGTGTGGATAACAGATTAAAACCATTGTCTTCTGAATGCTGAGAAGGGCCAGACAAAAATGCTTCTTGTTCCTATTTTAAGTTCTGTTGTTCATTGAATCTTTAACAACCAGCATTTCGAGAGGAAACAAGACTAGATGAAGAGATAGGAGGCTGGCTCCCAAATGGACACGGGAGTTCAGGATTTCTTCCCCCACAGGCAGATGATATCACTGGTTGCACACACACTCCTGGCATTGCCACGTTTTGGAACCTTGCTACCGAGTATCAACACTCCTCTCATTTCAGAAAGGGCTGGAAAAATGTGATATGAACAGCAGGGATGTAGGACTGGGAGATCCAAAGGGGAGCGGGGTGGGGCAGCCAGGGCTGCACCCATGGAGGTGCCGTCTCAAGCTGATACGAAGACAGTTTGTACGACCGAAAACTATTCCCAGGGCTCCCATTGTTCCYGTTGTTTTCTCTTTCTCTAAAAATCCTTGTGACTCATGAGCTATAACAAACAATTTTATGCTTGAGAGGGTGAAGGGCTAACAGAGCTGGCTGGAAAT